CGCTGGTCGAGCCACCACACACTTGTTCCAACTGTGCCACCATAAAATTCTTCAGGGGTCGGGGCAAAGTGCACACCGAACTGCAAAAGGAGCCGAGGTACAAGTCGTTGTACTCTGTCCCCGGCATCCTGAAAAGAACAAAGGAAAAACCATCAGCCAATCCACCCTGTGCGTAACCGGCCTCTAACCGATCAAACGGCAGCTTCGTAGTTGACGATGCCGCGAACGGTGGTGACTGTCCCATAGTCGACAGAAGAATTGCAAGGCCACACATCACGTGGTAGCCCCGCTTGGCCATGGCCTGTTTCACCTCGACAGGCGCACTCTCCAGCATGGAGAAAATCGTAGTGCTCGTAGTGCTCTTTGACGTATGCAACGTTGTCGCTGTAGGCTCGCTCGAACTCACAACTCCTCCTGCTCCGCCGGGTCGACCATCGCAAAGGAGCTCGGGGTTTTGTCCATGCCGTCCTCCTCCGGGTCGCTGTTGATCGCGTACAGCTCGGCAGGGTCTCTCTGAACCCGGACATGGCGACGGCGAGACCGATCTTGAACTGGGTGAACTCCGGCAGGTAGGCTTCTCGATCGTCGACCCACGGCGTCTCTCATTGGGCCCGCCGTCCTGAGGTTGTCGTCGTGGTGACAGTCGGCCCATTCCGTCGGTCGATTTGTCATCATGCTTCGGGCGTCGACCGTCTCGAGATCCTTCACTGGGGAGCCTGGCTGGTACAGAGCTACAGCGCTCATCGAAGCGGACCCGGCGCTCATTCGACCCTCGGCCTCCGGGTGGCTCGCGTAATCCGGCTCGTTGGTGAACATCTTGTCCGGGTAATCCACCGCCCCTGACTTCAGGTAGCCCTTGTCCTTGCGGCCGATCGATTTGTCCGTCGGGCCCTCGGGCGCTGATCTCATCTGTGGTCCGGTTAATCGTGTCCCCGTGCGCGTCGAGAAGTCGGTGTGGAAGACGCCGGAGAGGTCCTTGCTTGTTCCAGGGAGATCGAGCCGAGGTCGCTGCGTGACCGAGGAGGCGGCAAGAACTTCGGAGGGGCCGTGGCGCGGTAGATCGGCTTCACTTGCTCCGGCACCGCGCCCGTTCCCGGCACTGACATCGCCGCCTCGGTCCGTTCCCAGCGGCTTCCGCAGTCCGCAGCTCAGACATATCCACCCAAACCTTGCTTGGTTGCCTCCATGCGCAGCTGGTCCTCCACATGTTCGCATCGTTCTGGTTCGCACGGCCACTGCTTCTGTGCTTGGCTGCGGCTCAGAGGTTGCCCGAGTCCCTGCCGCGTTGGCTTCTTGTCCTTGGCTGACCGCTGCCTTGGTGGTGGAGCCGTGGAAGACGATGCCGAGGTCGGTGATGGGTCGATCGTCAGGGCATCGATCACCATCTGGTCCCGGGCGGTGACTATCATTCTCACGATGATGCGCACCAGGCGAGCCCAAGCTCGCTGACACCACACCGAACCACGGTGACGTGCCTGCCGCCGGTTCTCCTCCAGCTCGCCTTGCACAAGCTCTTGCACTCGACGCTGCATGGCACGAGGTCACAAAGAAGATCCTAGCCAGACCAGTCAACATTGACGTTTGTCGGCTTTGTTCTCGGGCCCAAACCATGAAGTACACAGATCCTCTCGGCACTTCACGACGCACTCCATCCCGCAGCACTGCAAACAAGCGATTGCTCTTCTCACGAACACGTTGCCACGAGCTCAATACAGGCTGCTGTGGAGGGTGATAAGAAGGAACCCTGTGTTCAACAGCTCCAACATCTCCCCCGATAGAAGAGAAAACGCCCTCCAAGTCATGCTCTGCACTGGACTCTGCACTGTCCTGCAACGAAAAATGCTGGGGAGCCTGGCCGGAGATCGTCGAAGATGCCGTCGTAGAGGGAACCTGGCCAGGAGAAGTCGGGGTAGTCGACAATGATGCTGAGGCTGGGCTTAAGGCTTGCTGCTGAAACACCACAGTGCCCGTCCACGGAGAGTCCAACCGTCGTGACCCCAAACTACCTTGCCACACATCATTGATCACATAAGGGGCCTGACCAGGTGGGGCATCGAGGAAGGTCACACGGGTGGGCTCCAGGGTACTTTGCAATTCAGCAGGAACACACTCCGAGGGAAGAACCATGGTGTGTCGCGGCCCGTCCAGGGCCCCAAGCTCCCGCATGGAACCACTGGGTTGCCGAAGCCATACAGTGACCCCGCGATGCTTCTGCACTGGCCCGGTCATTTTCGTCGGGGCCCGCAATGGCTTGGGAACCTGAAACGGGTCTTTGCCGCCCTGCTGCAACTCCTTCGAAAGCTGCCACCGGCCATGAAACTCGACCACTGAAACGGCTCGGTGACCTGAGGGGAGCCTTTGCATAGGTGTCGCCTTGCCCTGCCTGGTACGAACCTCCTCGCGGTCGTAGTCAATGACCATGCCGACCAACTCCTGAAAGGACACTGGCAGAAGAAAGGGAGTCTCGAAGCCCGGGGCGTCCTTTACCTCAGTGACTCGAAGCAAGCCATTGGTCTGGCAAACACCGATCGGCACATCCCATATGTTTGCCATCTCCGCCGAGCCACCGATTCCTGCACACGAACCTGAGGGCCCACGAACAAGCACTGGCCGAAGTCCCTGCTGTTGCAAAATGCCCTTCAGCCGGGAGAACGCCTCGCTGCCGATGACGCCCTCCTCGGCGGCGCTGTCCACTAATCCTTGTCCCGCGCCTGTGCGCACCCCGGCAAAGATGCTGATTGCATGGTTGGGCTCCGGCACGTGGCAGTGCATGAAGGACCTGTTCAAAGCTCCTTGTCCTTGGCTGACAATGAAGCTCGCACGCTGATCTGCGATGGCAGGCTGGTTCTGGGGGCAATCCCGGCTAAAGTGGCCCAACTCGCCGCAACCGTAGCAGCGGGTTCGTGCCAGCAAGTCCTCTGCTGTTCCGCGGTTGGGACCCCGGCCTTTGCCCTTTGAAGACCTGCCCGCCGATCGTCCTTTGCCCTTTGGGCTCCTCCACGGAGAATACCCCTTTTCGCCCTTGCCCTTTCCCTTTCCTTTCTGCTCCGGCTTGTAGAACTGGCGACCTTTCCGTCGTGCCTGAAGCTCCCGCCGAACGTCCTGGTAGGCGGGATATGCAGCCAGCTCGTCCGGTTGGAAGTCGAGGAGCAGCTGGTTGTAGGCGTCATTGTATGCCCAAATATACAAGGCTTCTTCTTCATCATATTCCCGATCTGCCTCGTAGTAGATGTAGGGCTCGCCGTTCTCGTCCAGCTCGGTCTCCTCGTGGTAGTACTCGGGATAAGCCTCGGCATGCTCGTCCCACTCTTCACTCGCATCGTTTGTTCGACGCTGGCTGGCTTCCCCCGGTGGCTGCTCGGATCTCTGCTCGTCCTCGTAGAAGTACGCAGACGACGAAGTTCCCGCCGTGGCCACCAAGGATGCCGAGGCCATCGGCTTAAGAAGCGCATCCGGTCTATCCAGGGGCCGCAAAGCCTTTGACACCTGATGGAAACCCAGCAGCGCGTTGTGATTGATTGCCATGCTCTCCCTCTGGGCTTCTGTGAGGTTGGCCTGGCGCATCAAGATGCGGCCTGCTATCTTATCCGGAATGCGCTCCCCAGCCAGGGTTTCAACCTCTTGCTTAGCCAACTCCTTCGCAGCAATGAAGGTAGAGAACGTTTCATTGCGCTGTCTTTCTCCACCATAAAAGTAAGCATCCACTGCTGCAGGGGCCGCGGCTTCGAGGTAGGGGCGAAACTTCTCCAGCACAGCCGTTAAAATCGCACCATAGCCCGCCTCGGAAAGGATCACTTCCATCGGCAAGCCCTCTGCGATCCGCCTCGGTATGCTGCCCTCTGGAAAGGCCTGGAAAAGCTTCACGCCCCATCTTGCCTTAGGGACTTGATTGTCTATTTCCCAGAAACTCAGCTGACGCAGCCAGGCACGAAGCGTGGAGGCATTCCCTGCCCAAGAAGGTAGCATCTTCTTTTCACCAGAAACAGCCATTGTCAAAGCTCGCACTATTGCATCATTTGTGTCCACGCTGGAGTGCCCTCTGTCGATGGGAGCCTTTCGGCCCAACAGTTCAAAGGCACTCTGGACCCCTTGGGGGCCGGCTTCTGTCGACGAACTCCCGGGTTGCCCGGTAGCTCCTAAAGCATTAGCCACATTGCCAGCAATGCTGGCTCCAGGATTCAAACTTGCTGTCTGTCCCCCAGAAGGCCCTTGGCCGCTCTCTACGTTCGCAGAAGCAGCCGCCGTGGTGTGGGGAGCCGGTGTTCCGAGCAAAGGTTGTCCGGGAGCAAACGGAGAAACTGGGCTCATGGGTGCACTTGCAGCACCAGGTCGCAGTCCCGCCTGACTCGGTCTTCCAGTTGCAAAAGCCACTGGTCCAGGAGGCAGGCCAGGAACCCCGAGACCATAACCTTTCCCTTGCCAGGCACCCAGGAAGGTACCTGGAGGTCCATTCATGGTCCCGGCTGGAGCTCACGGGCTCCGCTGCCACTGTAAACTGACAGCTTATTCGAGGAA